TGGAGGAAGAGGAGTCATTTTTTGTGGATGTGATTGCAGGTAAATTGCTCATGCCTTCCATGCATGCGTACAGCACTAACTAGACTCAGTGGGTTTTTTTTTTTTTTAAGGGAGAGGATGGGAAGATGGAAGGGAGAGTGGTTAGGAGATCAGGGGGAGGAGGAAGGATGCGTTGGGGGTGAATAGGATCAAGGCACACTGTTTGCATGTATGAAATTGTCAAAGCACAAATAAAAGGATTTTTAAAAGATCCCCCAAAAAGAAAAGAAAAACACATTCCAAAGAATGAAAAAAAAATATATATCCCCTTCAATAGTATATTATTTTGGAACACACTACTACCCAAACCTAATCCAAAGAGCCATACTTTTGTTGTATTTATTAAAGTAAATTTTACATACTGCAAAATTTATCCCCTCAAAGTAGAATTTAAACTCAAATACGTCACCATGATCAATTTTGGAACTTTTTTTTTAACCCCTACAAGGAACCCATACTCATCAGCGTCACTGCCTAGTCTGACACTCTAGGCAAACGTTTATCTACTTCCTATTTGTACAGATGTACTTAATTCAGGATATTTCACATAGTCCCACAATGCATCACTGTGACTCTCTCCCCCTACTTAGCATATTTTCAAGAGTTATTCATGACAGCATGTGCCTTTCCCATTTTTACAGCTGGCAATATTCCGTGGCATGGATATACTATACGTTATTTACCCATCCATCAGCTGACGACCATAGCTGTTTTCACTGTTCATTACTATAAACAGTTCTGTTGTGAACATGTACATTTTGGTGGTTGTGAATTGGTGTCTCTTTCTTTAGTGTTGGGTGTAAACCCAGGGCCCTGCATGAGCACCTACTCTACCATGCATGGGTTGGAGTATTGCCTCAGAGGTTAAGAGCACCGGCTGCTCTTCCAAAGGGTCCTGGGTTCAATTCCCAACACTCACAGAGCAGCTCATAACCACCTATAGCTGCAGCCTCACAGGATCTGATGCTCTCTTCTGTGGTGCAGATCCATGTAGAGAACAGATGCGTATACATAAAATGCATAACTCTTTAATAGGAAAACGTTCTTTAGCACTGAACTAACCCCCCCCAGGTCCAGTTTATATATTGTTTATTTAGTACCTAACTTCCAGCGGTAGACTCTGGATTCCCACTCCCCACCCCGCCCCACCCCAGACACATCTCATGTTCTGCTTCTGTCTATTCAAATGCCAGTACATGATTTTCCAGTTCAAACTTTATAAATAATTTTGCTTCTTTTTTTTTCTCCTCTGTTTTTCTGGTATTTATTTCTCCACTATTTTTTCCACGTAGATCTCTCTCTCTCTCTCTCTCTCTCTCCCTCTCTCTCCCCCCACCCCCATGGCTCTGCTCCCACCTGTCTGCATGTCTACATACCCACTTGCCTGCCTCTAACCCTTCCCCAGGTTCTCCTCTCTCTTCCCTGAATAAACAAACCCCTTTCACATGAGGTCTGTGTGGTGGAATTACTCAGGGGCACACTTTGACATGAGCCTGCCAAAGGTACCCTCCTCACCAATTAAGATTTCATAACACACCTCAATAAAAGAAAGAAAAAAGGAGAGGGAAGAAAAAAAAGAAAAGTAGGAAGAAAAAGGAGGGGCAAAGAGAGGACAATTTAAGAAACAAATATTTCTAGGGAGAGCTGGCCCCACCCCTCACTGGCTGCAGCATTCGGGAGAGCAGGCAGAGGAGCTCACCTGGGTAACATGGTAGAGCTGGCCCTGGTAGTGTTGGCATGGGAGAGCTGGCCTCAATGGCATGAACTTGGGAGAGCCAGGCCTGACCCTTGACTGCTACTGTAGGCAGGAGAGCTGTCCCTACCTCTCGCCTGGGCAAAGCAGGAAAGCTGGCTAGGGTGGTACCGTACAGGTGCAGGAGAGATGGTGTGCTGACCAACTTGGCTGCCACCCTGGCCCAGATCCAGGGCTTTGAGCTGACCAGCTCCAACATCTACCCCATCTATGAACTGCTGGAACTTGTGAAGGGGCTGGCTATACAAACCCAAAGCTGCAGGATCTCCATGACACGGGGCAAGAAGAGAATATCTGAGAGGAGTCCCAGTGAAGATCCAGTAGTGATAGTGTAGCAGAAACCAAAGGTCTCAAACCAGACCAGTGACTCATTAAAATGAACATTTGCAAGTAAAGCTATTTGGGCAAAAGGATGTACTGTAGACACACCGTGACACATGTGACAGCTTCCACAATGAGATGGTTTTGTTGTGTTTTTATTGTTTTTTTTTGGGGGGGGTCATGTTTCAAGGGCAGAGGTCAGATATGGAGGGACAGAGAGGTGAGTGGGATCCAGGGGCACTATGTGAAATTCACAAAGAATCAATAAAAAGTTTTTTTTTAAAATAGGAATATTTATTGCTAACTTGACAATGACCTTTTTTATTGATTGATCATCAAATATATGCCAGGTATGTCTTCTAGTCACCCGTTCCCCTGAACCTTCCAGGGTAAGCATGCTGCTGGGCTGGCCAGTTCCATGTGGGTTCCAACCATGGGACTGCAGCCTGGGGAACACCCGTGTCTATCAGGAGGCCCTAGACTCAGGAAGAATTAGCACTTGAGTTGATGCCTAACAGTTTCCCTTCTTACCCCAAACACGCTTTGTGTTATTTTGTTCCCAGACTGGCCTGGGAACTTTCTATGTAGCCCCTGCTAGCTTCTAACTCAAAATCCTCCTGCCTTCAGCTCCCCAGAGCTACGGTTTCAGACAAACACCACCACCACATCTGCCTTCTCAAATGGATTGTTGGAAACTAGGTTACAGATCTTCTCAGCTCAACCATGTTTTCAGTCCCTCCTGATTCCTGGCCCCTCCTTCCTATAGTTATACTATCCAACAAAAGTGTACCCCAAAAGCCTTTGCTTCAGCACTGCTTGCTAGGCAACCCAGACTAAACACCCATCTCACTGGAGAAAAGAGAGTTTCTAGAAAATTCAGTAATCTCTCTACACTGCACATCTGGCAAATTGCAAGCATGGATTAGAACCTTTTATTAGGTCATCGAACAAGCACTTAATACTTATTTTCTGTTGGCAGTCATTGTGCCAAGCAGTAAGGTGATAGTGACACAGGAGACACATAGTCACAGTTTTCCTGAAGCTGATTCAGCCACATTCAAGGTGAAGGTGATTAGGATTCACATTTGAAACAACTGTGGCTGGGTGGTGCTGGTGCTCGCCTTCACTGCCTTCACTCCCAGCCTGTGGCAGACGGAGGCGGGATAAACCCTGGTTCAAAAAACAAAAACAAAACAAACGGCAAATGGTGTGTGGTCATTCCTTAGGTCCTGCTCTCCTCTCTCTCTCTCTCTCTCTCTCTCTCTCTCTCTCTCTCTCTCTCTCATCTATATCTATCCCCCTATCCTATCTATCTATCTATCTATCTATCTATCTATCTATCTATCATCTATCTATCTGTCGTGTGTTATATGCATGTTGCTCTTACCTGTGTTTGGACGTGTAGAGGCCAGAGGTTGACCTCTGTTTCATAAGCTTCCAGGATCTGTCTTTCTTAGCTCCCCAGGGCTGCTATTACAGGAATGCACTTGTGCCCATGAGTGCTGAGATTTGGACTAAAAGCAGTTTACTCACTGAGCCATTCACTGGGCCCTCACACTGTTTCTGGGGTAAGGTTTCTGACTGGCACCTAGGCGCTTGCCCATTTGGCGAGGATCAATGGCAAGGAAGCCTCCAGGAATCTGACTCTGCCTCCCGGATGCCAGTTTCTAATTTGTCCCTAAGCACTAAACCCACTGACCATCTCCCCAGCGAAGTTTCACATTTTACCCCATTAAAAAAATCTCCGCAGGCAGAGGAGCCACTGGCTTGAACAAGCACAGCCTATACATACAGCTTTGTACTTTTTGGATTTAACCATATGAGTTAAATAGCCAGTTAATTTACAAAGGACATTTAAAGTCACTTGACAAAGAATGACCAGAAAGGTGAAGGACCGAAAAGGTGACGTGACTGGGAGAAACTGGCTGAGGACACAATGTTTTTGCAGGAAAAAGGGAAGGAAGTTTGGGGCGGTGAGTGGGAGGACTTACTGTCCACGTAGGAGTTGAGACAACTTATTTATGGGGTGGGGGCAGAGTCTGTCTAAACCTGGCTTACAGTCTATGGTTACTGTTTATTTTAAATAATACTGGACGGATCTACGACACTGTTTTTGGATGTTTTTCTCACAAGTTCCGCCCTTTTGTTTCTCTAAACCCCTCTCGGGTTTGGCAGCTTTTCCTTTAACTTGATTTGCACAAACTGCCAAGCACGCCAAAGGGATTTAACCTAGTAATTACATCGAAATAGATTTAGGGCTACAAAGACGTGGCACGAAACTCAAGAGGTTTACTGTCGCCATAAGAGGATCCTAAGGTCGGCTGTCCTAACATTACGGTGCGCTCTGACTACTTTACAGCCGCAGTCAGAGGTGGGAAAGAAAAAGTTTTACAAACACAATTCGTCAATTTTTTTAACCTCTCTACGCCAGAGCACAGTACATGAACACTTTTAAACGCCTGAGTGTAGATGGCTCCTTTTGAAGCCCGGGAGTTCCACAGGCGAAGAGCCAAGTCCTTCCTGTAAGTAGTGGGGACCTGGGCCACTTTGGCTCAGCGCCTCCGAGGACTGATCCCCGGGGATGGTCAGTGGGGTCCGCCCTCGCCGGGGCTCGGCTTCCGGGATCCAGGAGAGATCTTACTGGTCGCTGGCGCCAGGCTGGACGGTAAGGGTGAACTGAGAGGCGGATGAAAGCCGGGCAGGTTACCGATCCCAGCCTCACGTCTCGAGACTAAGGGCCACTAGCTTGTCCAGGAGTTCAAGTGTCCGCCAGGGTTAGAGGCGGCTAGCCACGCCCCTCGCTCGCGCCGCTTCCGGCACCCCGGCCCCGCCCCGCGCCGGCGCTGCCACATCCTCCGGTGACGTCAGCGCGCGCCGCCATATTGGGAAGCGCCACCGCCGCCGCCTCCGCTCTGGCTCCTGGACTGTGTGGGGCCACAGCCGCGGGCTGAAGGCTCCCTTGGGTACCCCATCGACGCCCGGCCCGCCGGCTTCGCCCAGATCCGGCTCCTCATGACTGCCTTCGGCCCCGAAGCCCACGGACATCGCCCCAGCTCCAAGAATTAACACGGAAGCTTCTGGGGCCGGGGCCGTGAGGGAGAGCCGGCCGGTCCCGCGTCCCTGTCGGTCCGGCGCGGCTCTTCGGCCGGAGCCATGACCTCGCTGACCCAGCGGAGCTCGGGCCTGGTGCAGCGGCGCACCGAGGCCTCACGGAACGCTGCCGACAAGGAGCGGGCTGCGGGCGGCGGCGGCGGCGAGGACGAGGCGCAGAGCCGCCGCGACGAGCAGGACGACGACGACAAGGGCGACTCCAAGGAAACGCGGCTGACCCTGATGGAGGAGGTGCTCCTGCTGGGCCTCAAGGACCGAGAGGTGCGGGCGCGACGGGCCGGGCGGGGTGGCGGCCCGGGGCGCGGGACCCAGGTGGCTCCAGGTGGGCCCAGGTGGGCGCCGGCCGAGGCCTCAGCTGTCCCCAGAGCCCCGCGCCCCTGAGCGCTCCACTTGTCCCAAGGAGTGTGGGAGTCAGCCGTCTGCGGCGGGGCCCTGTGTATTCCAGATCCTCCCGGTACCGAGGGCTTGGATTTTTCCTTCCTCTGTTCACATGCACTCTTAGTTCTGAAGTCTTGGCAATCTTTGCGTTTCTTCTTCGCTTTCTGCCGCCAATGATTGCAATTCCAACCCGAGACTGTTTGAGATCCAAAGACTCGGGGCTACCGCCCATCCCAAGGATTGAGTCTTTTTTTTTTTTTTTTTTTTTTTGGGCAGGTTTTAAGACCTGGGAGAGGGTCACGGATCTACTTGCTGTCGGTCTCTTTCTTATATAAAACTTGGGTTTGCGGCACGCTGTTAAGAATTAGTAAAGTTATTTTTTACGGGGCATCGTTTTAAAAAGTCAGTATCAAGTTGTTATGAAACCTAGGAAGTAACTTTTTAGATGAACTTGGTTTCAGTGAGCGATGAGTTAGTTTTGCGGTTAGTAGATCTCTTGTCTCACTTTTGCCGTTTTAAGGGAGGGCTTGTGAAGTGCTGGGAATAATACCAAGTTTGCGCATTGATGAAAGGCTGCAAAGATTTAGGTAGGCTTAAGTTGTATTCTGACGTTTGGAAAGGTCGTTTGCACCCCAAATATTTAGGAATTTTACACATAGAAGTTGAAAAAAATGCTAGTGACTGTCTCTTTAATATCTAGATTCTGTAGTTCATGTTTGATTGATTTTATTAATACCCATCCATTTATAAAGGTGATTATTTTTAAAGACAGACTTGCAGGATTGGATGTTTCATAAATCATGTATGATGAGGTGGCCCGGAAGTTTGTTTCGTTTCCATGTGGAAACTCTAGACAACACATTTTGAGAGTCAGACAGAAAGGCATTGGGTCTTGTTTTTAAATACGTTTTCAGAATTCAGGAAGGAGGGCAAAAAACCCCAGTTCATCCTATAAAACAGTTTTCTAGTTTCTCAGACTCTAGTTCCTCAGACTTAGCAGCGGTAGAAAGATAAGTTTTTCCAGGGACTGTTTGTGGTTCCCGGATACTAGATATTACCCAGGGAAGTGCTTTTTGATGCCTTAATACCATTCAGCTTGAAGACGCTGAATGGCCCTCTGACTGTAAAAGGGGCACAGTACCTGTTTAATTACAGTTATAATGAGAAAAGCCAGTGCTGCGTGTGTTTCATTTTTAGCTTTGGGGTGAAAAGCTAGATGTCAGTGCCATGGTAATGCTGTTTTAGAGAGCATTCATTTAGAAGGATTAGGTTTAGAAAGCAGGCTTCTTGAAATACACAGTTCTTTTTCCTCCCTCCCTACTTTGGAACAACATAGAGTGAGACATTTTTAGGAAGTACAAGAAGAGCAAAATGAAGGCTAGACTCCTGGATTAGCATTTTGGTTCTGTACAATAGAACTCTGTAGTAGCTACAATGGAACAAAAAAATTGTTTTTGGTATTGTCACATTGAGAAACAATGGTGAGAAAGTACTTTTTATTTTCGAGGTCTTTCTGAGTTTTTAAGATAAAGCTGTCACTAGTTACTTTTCTGTGATTAGTTCCCATGAAGATAATGTGAAGAATTCTTTGAATCTAATGCTTTTACATTTAGGTAGTTTTTTTTTTTTAAAAACAATTGAAGTTCTTTGATGCCAGGTAACTGACACCATCTGTTGTAGTTATTTTGTGTAAATAATAAGTAAACTTCTTAAGTCATGGCCAAAGTTCAGCCAGGCACTAATCTTTAGCATTTGGGGGTGGGCTGGGCACTGGTTTTTAAAAAATGTAGGCACTCTCGAAAAAACAAAACAAAACAAAACAAAAAAAATGTAGGCACGACCAACAAGTGGTGGTGTGGCAGGGGCTAAGGCTTGCATTGGCATCTTGGTTTTAGAATTCTCTTGTGTATATTTCTTTTTTCATCAAATGTATACACACTAGTGATCAGTCCTATAACCCTATCATCGTCTCTTTTTTGGGGAGGTTCCCCTTGTTTTTTTTTTTTTTTTTTTTTAAAGACAAGAAATTGGTTTCCTGCCTCTGTCTCCCTAGTCACTTAAGACTGTTAAATTTGTTATTAACTTAAGTTCTAGGGATTGGGAATATATACCATTCAGCTTGAAGACGCTTAATGACCCTCTGTCTCAGTTGATAGAGTACATTGCATGAAGTTCTGAGTTTGATTCCTACCTCTGCACAATCTGGGCTTGGGAGCTCAGCGTGCCTATAATTCCACTTGGAAGGCAAGAAGTTCAAGGTCATCTTCACCTACAGAGAAAGTTAGAGGCCTGGGCTCCATGAGAAGCAGTTGGCTTCAGATTACTAACATGGAGTTTTGTTTAAAGTCTTTGTTAGGTCTCAAGCCCAGGAAAAATAACTAACCAAGTTGCCCATCAAGGCAGACCCTGGCTACCTGTCTTAGCATCACCAGAACCTGTTAGAGAGGCCTGGCTCCACTCAGCACTTCATCCAGCCCCTACCTTCAACCTCTCCAGCCCTGAGCTTCCCTCCCTCCCCCGCAGCCGCTCTTCTCTATGTAACCCAGCCATTTTGGCTATGTGGTCTCTTGGCCTCTTGCTCTCTTTGTCTCCTGGCTTGCTCCATCCTCTTGGCTCTTGGTTCTTCTCTCCAGCCTCCTATCCCCCTCCCATACCAGGTTCAGACTGGACCTTTCCAGATGCCTGTTTACCCCTCTACACTAAACCTCCTCAGCCCATACCTAGGAACAGTCACGTCCTCACTTTTTTCATTCAGTCCTGACAATAGATTTCTTTTATTTATTTTTTTAAAGTTCAAGTTGGCTTTTCAGGTTTTTTCTTTTCTTTAAACACCCAAGGGCTGGAGAGATGGCTCAGTGGTTATGAGCACTGACTGCTCTTCCAGAGGTCCTGAGTTCAGTACCTAGCAACCACATGGTGGCTCACAACCATCTGAAATGGGATCCAATGCTCTCACCTGGAATGTATTCATATACATAAAAGAAATAAGTCTTTGGGAAAACCCACCCAAGCCTAGGCCCTTTCATGGGTTCTGGTACTTAGTCTGGGGGAGGTGTCAGTGATTGATATTTAGAGGTCACTGTTAGAGTGTCACATAGGTTCACTCATGAATTCAAATTAAGTCATTGGCAAGATTTCTGTAGATGGTTGGGGCCAGGGCAGGGCAAGTGGTACATATTTTCTTTTTCATTATTTATTTGTATTTTTTCCCATTGAAGCCTTTACTAGAGTAGTTTCAGGATACTTAAGAATGATCATAAATAACCAGAAAGTTATATTAAAATGGTTTTTTTTTTATAAAAATTAAGCTGAAGGGTCTCACATATATTGTATCACTACTAACTGTAACACTGACCCCCCCCCCTTAAATAACTTGAATTACTTTATTGGTGGTAGATCTAAATATTTAAGGTTAGATTTGATAATTTCATTTACTTGCCTATTTAAAGATTTATTATTTTATGTGTATGAATATTTTGCCCCTATATTAGTATCTATGTACATCTAGTTTGTGCACCTGGTACCTAAGGAGGCCAGAAGAGGGCATTAGATCTCCGGAACTAGAGTTAGAGATGGTCGGAAGCTGCCAGGTAGTTACTTAAAATTAAAACTGGGTCTTCTGGAAGAACAGCCAGCGCTCTTAACCATTGAGCACCCTCTCCAGCCTCAGTTTGACTATTTTAAATGATCAATTTAATCTAGTGTTTGGTGGCTGGGGAGATAGTATGATTGGTAAAGTGCTTACCACACAAACATGAGGCCCTGAGCTTGCTTCCCAGCTCTCTCTGGAAAAGCTGGGAGTGATGTCACAAGTTGAGGCAGAGAGTGGAACTCCTGGATGAGCCATCCTAGCCAATTCAGCAAGCTCCAGACCAGTGTGAGACCCTGCCTGAAAGTCAGGGTGGTTGGCATTTTGAGGGCAACGCTGAAGTCGACCGCCGACTTATACATGATCATACATGCACACACACTTGTACAAACGGTAAAAAAGAAACCATGCCTGGTGAATAGAGATGAGGCTTTGTAGTCCTTTGCTTTACGTACTATGCAAGAGTCTCAGGATTCTCATACAATGTGGGAAATGGTCACTTCATGTGCTTAGGATTGTACTTCTGTGGCACTTATTGTTAACACTTTACTTTCCCCCTTTTGTCTTGCTTGGAGAGAGGATGGAATTCTCTTAGCCTTAGAATTTTAGCTTTTAATTATCTACTTATTTATTTATCCATTCATTTACTTATTTTTGAGTCTCAGGGTTTCTCTGTGTAGTCTTAGCTGTTCTGGAACTCTGTAGACCAGGCTGGCTTTGAACTCACAGAGGTCCTTCTGCCTCTGCCTACAGAGTACTGGGACTAAAGGGTATGTGCCACCATTGCCTGATAGAATTGTTTATTTGTTTCTTGTTTTTTTAGATAGGATCTAATGAAGGCCACGCTGGTTTCCTTGAACCCTCTCTGGATGCTCCTGTTTTTATCTCCCTAATGCTAGAGTTACTGACAGCTTTCAGATGGCTTCTTGAAATACCTCCTGCCGGGCGGTGGTGGCGCACGCCTTTAATCCCAGCACTTGGGAGGCAGAGGCAGGCGGATTTCTGAGTT